GCCTTAGAGATTATATTTCCCAGCAATGACTCACAGAATGTTTACAACAATGAAGGTCATCGCTGCTGGCGCGAGCTACTCCAACACAGTCATCTACTCCAATGCCATTCCCGTGTTCTTTGTCCATAATTTCAATGTTAATTTTCTTCAAGTATCTATTCAATCCCGTTCTAAATATCGTAATGCACTTGGCTTCAACACATTATATGCTCATAGTTCTCAACAACAAACCGTAACTTCACAGTCATGCAAGTTTTCCATCAAAATTATTCATGTTTTAATGTGGCTATGACATAACTTCACACAACTCACTGACCATTAGCATTCACCAAGAGACAAGATTGCTGATCAAAATAAAATTAAACCAAAACATAATAAAATCACCCCATTAAATTCAGTTTATTTAAATAGGATTTCAAGCAATTAATGTCACATTTGGGTCCACATAACTTTTAAACTATCCTTCTTACACTTTGACAACTAAACGTTTCATTAAGATTCTGCTTTACAATAAGTTTATAAACAGATAACGAGGAGTTAATTCAAGACATTTGCTAACCTAACTCTTACTTATGACAACATAATTGTCAATCCAGGATAAGTTTTGAATTTAATAATGATCTTTACATTCGATATACGGCCTTTTGTAGGCGAATGCAGCAGCCAATTTGCACACAGCAATATCCCACAAAAAAACATGAAATGAATGACTAATGTTATCCGGGGAATTGCGGCCAAGACACCAGGAGAAACTCCCTTCTCTTTTCAAATCGTGCTATTGGATTGTTGACATTCACTGGATCATTGTTTAATGGCTCATCTACGGCATCTGTGAAGTTGCAGCACATCCCCAGTAACTCAGTGGTAACACTCTCATCACCGAGTCAGAAGGATGTGCATTCAATTCCAATATCAAGGCTATGCTCCAGTGGAATGCAAGAGGAGTGCTGCATTGTTGGAAGTGTGTCCACTGAATGAGATTTAAAACAAGGGACCGTCTGCCTGTTCAGGTGGATATTAAAGATCGTAAGGTCTAATTGAAAAGAGCAGGGAGTTTCCCCCGGTGGCCAAGTGAACAATCCCCAAATAATATTGATCACTGACTTCATGTCTGTGGATATTGCCGTGCGCAAACTGACTGCCATATTTATGATAGGATTGGCAAAAACAATTATAATAATAATCCTTGCATTTGTTAAGGGCCTCCTTATCACTGAAACGTCTCAAAGCACTTCACAGATTATATTGTAAAATGACTGTATTTTGTGGGAAAAATGCGGCTATTTATATTTATCTCAAGATGCATCTCTGACTGTACTTTCGTCACCTTTTCCCTCACCCAGCTTCCACCCCAGCTTGAGCGCTCGCCCAGCAGTCTTACATGCCTCAAGATGTCCTCCCGATAAAATTGTATTACATTGCTGGTTATTGCTATACACTACAGAATCACAGAAATTTACAGGACAGAAGGCGGCCATTCGGCCCATTGTGTCTGTGCATAATCTTCTAAGAGCAATCCTTTCAGTCCCATGATCTGCCCTTTCCCCATTATCCATGTAGTTTACTCCTTTTTAGGTACTTATCTAGCTCCCTTTTGAAAGCTAATATGGATTCGATCTCAACCACTGCTCCCGACTGGGCATTCCAATATCCTAACTTCTCTGTGTATTAAAGAAAAGTCTAACCTCCCTACTTCCTTGTTTACTGACTACCTTAAATTGATGCCCCCAGTCACTGATTCACTGACCAGTGAAAATAATTTCTTCCTACTATATCTACCGAACCCCTCATGTGTTTCAACAGAAAAAATCCTAGTTCCTCCAATCTTTGCTCATAGGCCAAACCAATCACTCCCACACATGCCTCTGTTTACCTAGCAGTAAGCAGGAACCCAGGTGTTAGTCTGCATCCAGTTGGTAATAATTTCTTAAAAAAATAAGAAGAATTTGGTCACTCAATACACAGCTATTTGTGGGACACTGCTGTGCGCAATTGGCTGCAGCGTTTCGCCCACAAAATATACAGTCAATTCACTTTACAGTGTATTCTGTGAACCATTTTGAGACGGCTCAAAGCCATGATAAGGCGCTATCAAATCCAAGGATTATTATTATTAGTAAAACCATCCTAGTGAATCTTGTCTGTACCCCTTGTACTGCTCTAACATCTTTCTAAAGTGGGGTAACTAAAACTGGACAAACTATTCTAACTAATGATTTTTACAAGTTTATTATTACCTTTTTGGTTTTATTTTCTATACCCCTACTCGTAAAATCTAGAATTCAATTTGCTTTCTTGACAGCATTTCCCACGTGCCTTGCTAACTACAAATATACTCAGCTACTACTAATTTACCAACTTGGGATGCTCCACATCTTATTTATATTAAAATGACAATAATGGCTTGGTAACGCAAGATCAAAGATTTTAAAATTATGAAAGTCCACTGTTGAAACCTTTTTCCAAGCCTGATGTTGAGGTCAATAGCCCTATGGGAAAAGCTTCAGTGAAGGTCAAAAGGATCAATATAGTCCAATTTCACTTACAGTATTTTTACATCAAAAGTTAATGCCACAAGACTATAGATAAGATACCTTGAGTATATATATCAATAATTGCTCATTTCATAATTCAATTATGACTGCCTTTAAGATGGATATCTCTATCTCACAAAATAAAAACAAGTACTAGATAATTTACAGATGAAAAATAATTTGGACACTGAAAACAAACCATAATCTAAATTGGTTCTCTGTGCTAACATGTATCCTTCAACAAAATATGGTCAGTGCTAACAATTCTTATAAGGATGCTATGATAAGGAAAACCAGTGCACACTTGATTTTATTTAAAGGCTGTCAATACAGGAGACTCATAAACAAAAAGAACCTCAAGAAAAATTAGAAAGCGGGACAATACTGTTCCTCTTTTAGAAAAAGGCGTGCAGCTAATTGCATAAAAGCATTCCATTAAACTTTAAATTGCAGGTGATCATTTGTGATCCCAAGGTCTAATTTATTTGTAATAAACTTGTTTGGTTACTACAGTAGGGTAATAGTCTGGTACCTGAGCATAAGACCATAAGACTATAAGACGTAGGAGCAGGAGTAGGCCATTCAGCCCCTCGAGCCTGCCCCGCCATTTAATAAGATCATGGCTGATCTTCCAACCTAATTCCATTTACCCGCCCTGTCCCCATGTCCCTTAATCCCTCTATCTTTTAATAATAATAATCCTTGCATTTGATATAGCTCTTTTCACGTCTTCTAGACGTCTCAAAGTGCTTCACAAAATAGACTGTAAAGTGAATTGACTGTATATTTGTGGGCGAAACGCGGCAGCCAATTGCGCACAGCAGTATCCCACAAACAATCTTTGCAAGCGAGAGACCTGAGTTCAATTCCAAGCAGAGGGCGAAAACTTGGGCAAGTTTCCTTACTCCACACACCTAATAATAATCCCTCCAAAAAACCCCCCCCAAAAAAATTGGTCATTTTCAATCTAAGACTGTTTGTGGGACATTGCTGTACGCAATTGGCTGCCGCGTTCGCCCACAAATATACAATCAATTCACTTTACAGTGTGTTCTGTGAAGCGCTTTGGGACGTCCTCCCGACGTGAAAAGCACTATATCAAATGCAAGGATTATTATTATTATCATTATTATTAAACAGTCGTGGACTAAAAATGACCAATTTATTATTGCTTTGTTTTGGAGGGATTATTATTAGGCGTGTGGAGTAAGGAAACTTGCCCAAGGTTTCGCCCTGCCTGGAATTGAACCCAGGTGTCTCACTTGCAAGGCAAGTGCTCTAACCACTGAGCTACAGGACTCCACTCCATTTAGAAATTTATCAACCTCAGTCTTGAATATGTTCAAAGTCTGAGCATCCACAGCCTTCTGGGGTAGAGAATTCCACAAATTCACTACCTTCTGAGTGAAGAAATGTTTCCTCAACTCAGTTCGAAAAGGCTGACCCTTAATCTTGAGACTATGACCCCTAGTTTTAGATTCTCCAACCAGGGGAAACAGTCTCACGGCATCTACCCTGTCAAGACCCTTAAGAATCTTATAGGTTTCTATAAGATCACCTCTAATTCTTCTATATTCTAGAGAATATAGGCCTAGTTTACTCAACCTTTCCTCATAGGTCAACCCCCTCATCCCAGGAACCAACCTAGTGAATCTATGCTGCACTCCCTCTAAGGCGAGTATGTCCTTTCTTAAATAAGGAGAAAACTGCACACAATATTCTAGGTGCGGTCTCACCAATGCCTTATACAACTGCAGCAAGACTTCCTTACTCTTGTACTCTAACCCTTTTGCAACGAACGCCAACATGGCATTAGCCTTCCTAGTTGCTTGCTGTACCTGCATACTAACTTTTTGTGGCTGGTGTACAAGGACACCCAAATCCCTCTGAACACTAACATTACCTAGTCTCCCCCTCTATAAAATAATCCGCTTTTCTATTTTTATTACAAAGTATGACAAAATAAACCCCTTGCTGGACCAGGTCCGACATCAAAGAATATTTTTTTTAAATATTCGTGGACCTGAACGTTTGTCGTCTCCCGCCGGCCTACACTCCCAGTCTACACAGCGCACTGAGCAGAAAAGAGCTTATTTACTATCTTCTGCTCGTGGTATTCAAACAATTACAATGTTTAGTGTATTTCTCACACTATGCAATGGCGAAAGAGCTTGTATGATTGGTGCACAAATACAATCAGTATATGGACAATGTCTTCCATTAGTAATATAACACACAAAGAGCAGTGGAGGAGATGGCCAATGTTGTGGAGGTGTTGGATTTGAGCCATGAGTCTCCTCTTATGTTTGGTGCGGTTATATGAATAGTTCAGTTTATTGAATAATTTTCACTGTCAAATTGAGTATTCAATTAACAGAATTTCAATGTAGTATGTTAACAACTTTATAATCTAAGGTAATATTTAATTCACCTATAAAATAGATTATTATGCAGTCAAAGACTTACTTGCCACTGAGAAGTTATTTAAAGGGTAAGGTAGATCTGCATCTTGAGGTTTCTCCTTGTATCCTATGAAGGATCCATCAGTCTTCAATAGAAAGTACCTTGGTCTCCAGTTTTTGATATATTCTCCTGACAGGAAGAAATACAAATATTAACCAAGGATTTTGAATCAACTACCTTAAAATAACTATTTAATGTCCCTTCTGGGATAGAGTTAATAGATGAAGACATTTCCAAAAAGAAACATAAACTGATTCAGGAATGGAGTTCCAGATAGCGGGGGCAGAATGGCTAAAGGGTTTGCTACCAATGATGCGACAGAGCAAGAAGGATATTGTGAGCTGAGAGAGCAACAGAGGGTTATAGGAGGTCACAGAGTCAGGGTGGGGTGAGGCTGTGGAAGGATACAAAGGTAAATCAAAACACAAACTCCAAATATGACTCGATTGTGTTTCCCCTCTTAAAATAAAATCAGTAGCATATTAGATTGGGATGAGAACAGAAATATAGGAGGAAAATAACACCAGACGAGCATCAAAAGAGAAAGCTTAATACAATTACCCCATAAGAAATAGCTCAAATGGCAACTTAAGAGTTGACGAGTTATCCAAAGTATCATTGTCATTAGCCATACTGTACATGAAACTTATGTAACTATTAAACTGAAATAAGTGTAACAAAGTTATAATCAATGTGATGGTCAGAACGCTTGCACTTTATCAGTAAAACTATCTTTTATTTGTGAGGGTGAAAGTGAAAAAAAAACAATGTTCCACAATAGCAGTGAGCATTTATAAATGTAACAAATCAACAACCACCTGTGTTTAATCAGTTTAGGAATAGGCAATGCTTGCAATTTAAACAAAATGTAGGATTATCATGTTGGATGTGAATTGACCCTTAAATGGAAGCACATTGACACTTGGCACAACCAGTCAAGTAAAATGCAGGTTAAGTAAAGTAATTTCTGTCTACTTAATAATAAATTAAACATATAGGTGAATGACATACAAATGATGTATTTTAATCAAAAATTACTGGAAAAAGTTATGATTGAATGCTTTACACCACATCTGCCCTTTTCTTAAGCTTAATGGAAAAACAATGCACAAATAATTAATTTCACTGCATAAGCAAAAAATGAGTACCTTCAATAATTAGTTGCAGTTAAAGACTGATGGAACACGCTTTGTCATTTTTAATTTTTATTTTAGAATGAATGAGGCAAGAGAAACAAGTTCTTGAGGGAAAATAATTAAATACTTCAGTATATACCACTTCCAGAACAGCTAGCTCACTGATCCACCAGGCAGTCACTCAGTAACAGAGACATTCCAGATCACTAGCTTAAAAAGATTAGGTCCAGACACTGTGCAGTCACAATGCCGTTAGTTTGGCATAGAGGGCTAAGAAAGATAGAGGAGGAAACGATAACAACCAAATACTCTTCATATATTAAGATACACTTCCCATCACAAAACCACGATTGAAAGATAGAGATTTAGTGTTTGAAAGAGTAAAACTCTGAGAGGGTAATAGCATTATCCGTGCTGATATTGGTTTCAGCCAATTATCAGCTATTGGAGGATTCATTAAATCTCACTATGAATAAGGAACTCTTCTGACATCCAAAACATTAATCTTTCTCTTGTCCTTATGTCAATGTTAATTTAACTATGGCTTCCAGACAGCCTGGCATCAAAGGGTGGAGATCATAGGAGTAGTATTCAAAGACACGGTGGCTAGTTGTGACCATGCACAGCTGAGAATAAGTGATGGCGAGTGATCCACTCCCACCCCAATGTAACTACAAAAACAGCCAGTAGGAACTCAACAAGAGTGGCTTGGTAAGAATTCACCCAATTTTATGTTTGCCTCCAGATGGCACTTCCCTGTAGTGATGTCAAAGATGGGGATCTCACCAATAAGTATAATAATGAAGCAGATACATGGCCCACCACTTCTTGGCACTACACATAAACTTTCAATAGACTGGTTTAAACTGTTAATTTGACAATCTCAAGATGGCTACCTGTTATGGTTCCCATTTTAATGGACAAACACTCAGATCTTCCGGTTGTGTTGTCTGTTGCCCACACTGGTACTTCAACCTGCCACAAACCCACAGCCTCCTGTTCTCCCACCATTGATGCTGAGCATTAACCACACATTTCTTGCCTTTCCAGAACTAATAATTGAATTTCCAAGAAAAAAAAAGAAACAGAGGTAATGGCCCTCTCACACAAAAAAAACTATTTCAGGCATCCATGCCTGTAGGCGTCTTCGTGACTCAGCTGGTAACACTCTCTCCTCAATCTGAAGATTGCTTAATCCCCACATTAGGACTTTGAGTTCAAAGTCTAGGTGTCATGACACTCCAATACAGGTGGAGTGTTCCACTGCTGGAGATGCCACTCTTCAGTTGAAACATTAAACTGAGGTCCCATCTAACTGTTCAGGTGGACATTATGTCATGACACTGTTCGAAAAGGGAAGCGAGTTTTCTGGCCAACAACCTCCTGGTGAAACAAAAACAGAGAGAGCTGGGAACACTCAGCAGGTCAGGCAACCTCTATGGAGAAAGGAAAGTGAGTCAACGTTTCGGATCCACAATTCCTCGTCAGAACAGACAGAACAGTCAGAACAGGGTCGTGGACCCGAAACATTGACTCACTTTCCTTTCTCCATAGATGCTGCCTGACCTGCTGAGTTTTCCCAGTTCTCTCTGTTTTTGTTTCAGATTTCCAGCATCTGCAGTATTTTGTGTTTTGAACCTCCTGATGAAACTTGGTCATTTATTTAATGGCTGAGGGACATTGCTCTGTGCAAATTGTCTAGCTAAATCATCTGCAAATACAATTGCTACACTTTCCAGAAAACTCTGGTGCACTTTGAGGCACATTTGTTTACATTTAGGTACTATATTAATTGAAAAAATTATTATTATCCAATCTATAGTGTGAAGAACAGTTTTTATGTTCCCTTCCTAACTCCTCCCTCCACAGGCTGCAGATAATCCAGAACTCTGCAGTCTGGGTCCTCTCCCGCACCAAACTCTGTGACCCCATCTCCCCCACTCTCGCCCGACTCCACTGGCTCCCTGTCCATCAGAGGATCCAGGTCAAGATCCTGGTCCTCACATACAAAGCCCTCCATGGTCTCGCCCCACCCTACCTCTGCGACCTCCTACCCCCTACCGCCCGTTTCGTCCGCTCAGCCGGCTCTGGCCTGCTCCATGTCCCCCGACCCACCCGCCCCACCTTTGGCGGGAGAGCCTTCAGCCACTCTGCCCCCAACCTCTGGAATTCCATCCCCCAATCACTCCGCCTCGTCCCCTCCTTAGCCTCCTTCAAGTCCCACCTCTTCGACCATGCCATCGGCCACCCCCCTTCCCCTCCCCTCCCTTACCCCCCCAACCCCAGCTCGCGTCTGAAATGCTGTACTCTGTCCAGCGCCTTGGGACGTCCTCCCAACGTGAAAGGCACTATACAAATGTAGTCTTGTTGTTGTTTGTTTTAATCTAAACCTCTTTAAAATTATCTGAAATACTTAATTCACTATTAACTGCTGGTCTATTAACTTGTAAAGGTAGTTAGACTGATAGATGAAGTTTCAACATTGCATGTAGAGAGGTGTATAAATGTCACTTAAGTAACTTGGATCATGGTATCAAAACATTTTTCCCAAGATTGGGTTGTATTTACTGCCCCAAATGCAAGGGACATATGGCACACAGCAATTCGGTTCCTGAACCCTGTGGTTACTGTTAGTTTGAGCATGACTCTGAGCTAAATTAGACACTGGGATACTTCCATGGTGTTAAAAACCCTGCAGCTGGGAGCCTTGTAGTTACTGTTGGTTTCTAACAGACCTCCAGGTCAATCTGACAGAGATAACTGTGTTAGTTTTCCATGCCATCATTAAAAATTAAGCAAACTGCCACTAAGCATAATTCTCTGGAGAAAAACATTAACCTGTTGCAAATTCTGCTTTCACAGTGCTTTATGAAGCAATGGGCATTTCGGGAGAACAGAGAAATATTTCCTTATTTTTACAATGTAGGCCTCCTCCAGCTCAGTATAACATAGATCAAATGCTATACTCTTCAGAGTATTGCTATAGAACACCTCAGGTGCCTTCTACATATTAACAAATTGAACCCAAATTAAATAAATTTTATAAGAGAAGAAAAGAAAATCACATAAATCAAAACCACTATACAAAGTTGTAAACGTGGTACTTTGAACTCAAGTAGAAAGTAAATTTGAGGCAGCCAAAAGTTGAGGCAGCCAATAGATTTCTCTCTTCTTCCCTTCTATTAAAAATACAGCACTTCAAATGGTTCATTTTTGACTTTTAAATAAATATAACTAAAACTTCAAACTTCTTGGTGTTCAACAACTTCAAGACTGTAAAAACTTTAAGATTAGACATACCCTATAGCACCATTTGCAATCGTTCTGCTAGGGAGATTCCATCCAGACTCAATGACCCAATGACCCAATGCCAACAACAACTTGGATTTATATAGTACCCTCCACGCTGGACGGCGTCTCAGAGCGCTTCACAGTAACGGATCCCGGGGCCGAGTCAGGGGGAGGGGGGGGAGAAGGTGACCAAAAGCGCTGTCGAAAAGAAAGGTCTTCAGCAGAGACCTGAAAATGGGAAGGGAGGGAGTGAGACAAAGGGAGTGAGGAAGGCAGTTCCAGAGCCTCGAGGCACAGTGGTTGAAGGTACAGCCGCCGAGGGTGGAGCAGAGGATTCGGGGTACAAGGAGGAGGCCAGACCCGGAGGAACAAAGGCATCGGGTACTGTTTTGAGGAGAGAGGTCAGAGAGATGGGGGGTGCAGAGGAGTGCAGGGACTTGAATACGAGGGTGAGATCTTGAAATCGATCCTCTCTGGGATAGGCAGCCAGTACAGTCTGGCAAGGACTGGGATGATCGGGGAGTGGAGTTTCGTGCGGGTGAGAATGCGGGCGGCAGAGTTTTGAATGATTTAGATTTGATGGTAGTGGATGGGAGACCGGCGAGGAGGGCATTGGAGTAGGCCAGCCGAGAGGTGACAAAGGCATGGGTTTCAGCGGCTTTTGGGGAGAGATAATGGCGACCCAACCCCCATGATGGTCAGATTATTTGTTAAAACTGGTTTAACAAGTACAGGATAAGTTTATGTACAGGTATACATATCTATAAGTGCACTTATTTTCTGTTTCCTATCACTTATTTCTGCTATTGTATTGGGAACTGCACTTCTCGGGAGATGTATTATTTTAAAGAAAAAAGATACTGTATTTCCAGGTTATGTGTGAACACCAAACATCTTTATGTAATAAACAATTTCCATACAATAAAATACACTGTAATGTATTTTCAACATGACAAAACATGGCAGACAGTCAGTTATCATTCATCCGTCCTACAAATGCACAAGTTTCCATCCCCATTTCCAAGCTAGCTTATTTCACACAAGAGCACAGGTTCACCGAGTGAGTTAAACCACCTTGCCACTCTGTTATTCTAGCAATACTAGCAATAGAGTAATACTGTTGAAAGTCACAAAACTGCAAATCAGAAATTAAAAAAGCTCACGAAGTGCTGCAATGATCTCAATCTACTTGGGAAAAATAGTCCATAATAATCAGAGTCAGTTAGTTAATGTTATTCCCGCCCAAGGCAGCTCATTGCAAGAGTTCACATAGTGCATGGTGCAGCTGGCTGAGCGATGTAGGCAAGTTCATTCCAATGATAGATCCCATATTTTCTTTACTGGGATGTATAGAATGAGACATTATACATTATAAGCGAGCTATGAAATAAAGGGGGAGTCCCTTACTCACATTTTGCCTGGGAAGCAGGCGGGAAAATGACAGCTTAATGATATAAGCCAGGGTCTCATCAGGTGTTCACTGTATGGTAGCCAACTTTTTGGAGTTTAAGAAACATTCAAATTGCTAATGGAATATCTATAACTATCTAATAATAGAAACAAGCAGATGAAACAGTCATTTCTGTTCATGCTTTAGAAGTGTCATCAACAGCCAGAGGTTGCTAAGCACAGGTTTAAATATGAATGCTTAGAGCACCACTTTCCTGGGCTCACAATAATTGTGAGTTGATAGTTCAACCACAGCCACCTGCTCGCACCATACTTATGAAAGTTCCCAAAACTAAACTAATCAATTTACATGTATAATTCTAGTCAGCCAATGGAGCAATATAGGCTTCAATTCTGAAGCAAAACCTTACTAACAGTAAGGGTGAATAACACAAAGATGGATGAAGATAAACTGAAAAGAGGCAAAGAACAATTTAAAAAACGAAATTCTTAAATGGAAATTAAAATCCCATGAGTTATTTTGATTATTGAACCATTTTATCAGACTGAGGCACTGTGATATTGATGTTACATGTACAAAATGCAGGAACAATCTTTTCGAAGTTCAAACCTAAAATAATTATAATACTGAAGTACCGTTAGCTATGTATCGCTTTTTCCAACATAACTGACAGAAGCTGTAGCATTGTAGGGCATTTTGAACTCTTCTCAGTATGCTGTTTGACATCTGCACATGTTTATGCGTCTCTCCAATAAGCTCTTCAACACCCCGCTGGAGCTGTCATTTTTTTATTCTTCCTATCTGGCAGATGGCAAGTCAACAATCGGCATCAACAGCAGCAATGCCTCACCACAGAATCGCCTGCTCCTTGCGTCACAGACACAATAATAAACTCTTTGTTGTCCCCCACAATACAGCTGCTTAAACCACTTTGGTATGAAGCCGGTCTGCTGAAAGCACAAACTCCCTTCTGTCGGGGGTTTGTTAAAAAAACGGCAAAATGTTAAACAACCTAAGCCACAACACAGCTGCAAACAACCAGACACTTCAAAAGCTCCTCCCTAACAAAGCCCCTGAAAGGGGGCCGTCTGTAGCTTATGGAGCAATTAAAAAGTACGGCAGCTTGTTTTGTGCACATAACAACTGGACAGACAAGAACTGCAGTAGTCAAAATCAAGACCAGCTACTTTCAAATTTAATAGCTTTAATACCCATTTTATAAGATTTGTATAATAAACATATAAGTGTAAATAAACAAGCAATCCATTGAGCCTGAAGAAATAAAAATTTTGAAACTGACAATTGAACAGTTCAAAAAAATCTAAATTTTGCTGATAGAATTAAAAAATATTTCTCAATTGGGATAGTTCTGAAAGTTACCCTACTTTTGGTCTAACTAGAAAAATAGAACTTGGTCCACTCATCATTTTTCTTTTACCTATGCTTTTCTAAACTGTTGCTGGGTAATTCTTATAATTCTAACTGGTGCATGTAGTTAGAAATAAACAGAAACAAACAAGATATTTGCATGGACTGCCAGACACTTCCTCAGTCAGCATTGTCCTGGAAACTGTGATTTAATCTGTGACCTGCTTACCCACTTTCCCAGCTAGAAGATTACAAGGAGGTCAGAAGCTGTAAAAGGGAAGGGAGAACGAGTAATGATTGTTAAACAAGCTGCACAGAGTCAAGCGAATCCGGGCTCCACTCATCACACAATTGTATTCTTTTTTCATCTCCCTCTATTCATTAGTTCAAACACTAATTCCACTGGGCTCTTTACAATGTATGCCCACAATTGCTCTGGTATGTATAAAAAAACCCTACTTAAACTAACAGAATTATTATACACCCATGATTTCAAAACCACTTTGACTATAAACTGATCAGCAGTTGCTATAGGATTGATTACAATGACATTTCAGAAATCAATCCAGAGAAAGTTGAATTCTAATATTACCTTTGCTTTCACATATTAAATTTACCCTTTTACTATTATTGTCTTACAATAACCCAATTTCTTCTGTTGTACTGTGATTGCTTTCTACTACTTGTTCATCTAGGCGTACCCTACCCAATAGGGCTTTAGCTTGTAGGATTAACAGGAGCTCAGGAAGAATCCCTATCCTCAGTGACTAATCTACCCCTCCAAGTCCTGTGGACAAGCCAGGCTTGCTGATGTGTTAATGTGGCTTGAAATACTGCAAACCAGTCTGACTCAGGAACTAGACTACCAAGACCACCACAGGTTATAGACTCAATTTCCGACATTCCATCGTCGAGCACATCACCTTAATAGATGCCTCCCTTCCCTTAGGAGGTTAGTCGTGAGCTAGGCCAAGAGAAAAGTGAGGAAATATTTGCTCAAAATTGCAGAGCATTTTACAGATCTTGTGGAGGGTTTCTAGGAAATTTGCTAGATTTTGCGGGGGAATGTGGAGGGGTCATCGGTGCTAATAAGAGAGGTATCTTGCTGCTAACCTACATTTTTCTCTTTTCTCATTTTTAAAGACTAAAGCACGAAGAAATAACACATCATAGATTATTGCATAAAAACTCAATTTATTAATGTTTTCTTTAAGAATAACAGAACATGACACCTTTTAAAAGATGCAAAAGTGCAGTTTCAATCAATGGTCTCAACCAGGAACAAGTACACATCCGTGTCCTCAACATGTTTCTTCAAAATTGCTTCATGGAGGAATAAGCTCCTTCAAGTATGTTGTAACAGTCCTTCCCTGTTTCATGCACTTGCATAGAAACTCTTGGCAGGCAGGAGCTTTTCCAAGCAGTATGTCTGCTCCAGTTAAACACCGCACAAACTCCAATATGAATTCTTTCCTCTCTATAGATGATGCAGTAGTTCTAAAGAAGCACGTTGTCAGAGCAAGTTGTCTTTGAGGTCCAGATCCACCTAGCATGGAAAAGATAAAAATTGATCTTCGTGATGCATTTGTCATTAGAAATGTTCTATTTATTTTTGTTTGCTGTAGTTGTTTTATTTGCTTTTAAAATTCAATCAAAAGGGAGCGAAATCAACTTTTGTAATCATACAAATTAAAATTTTCTTTCAAAATTAAAGTGAAAGCAAATAATGATGCATTTTTATTTAATATGATATATCAAAAGTATTTTACCTTTTTTTTCTTTATTGCCACTGCCTTGTATTCACAATGTTTCCGAGAGTTCACATGCTCATCAATGGTGCACTTGCTAACATGGTCAATTGTGCGACAGCAAACACGGCAAAACAACTGCCCCCCCTTCTTCATAAAGGTCATCTGGATAGAGTACAATTCTACCTGAGGGACAGACGGAAAATGAGACATGCTGCCCCTTGGTTTCCTCATGGGATTTACAAAAATGATTTACAACCTAAAAAGTGAAACAACCCAGATTAAAACTATAGGTATATATTTTGAGAAAATGTAGTTATGTTTAAAATACTAAATATTTTAATAGTACAGCACTTACCAAGATCGTGTCGCAGTAGTGTGATGCAGCTGCTTTTCCTATCGAGGTTTACTCACCAGAGAAGTCGATTTCCCGCACACTCCACTTCCACAAACCCAAAATTCACCGTGCCTGCGCGATCGAAGCCTCTCCAGCCACACTAGAGGCGTTGAGCAAATAGCACAAGATGCCTGGGGCTTCGTGCACTGTGCCTGAAGGTTAATGCCTGAGGGGCTGTTTGTAGCGGGCTGGGGTCATTGAGTCGGAAAATGCAGAAAAGGTGCACCTGCACTTTTCTGTTGGCCCAGTGCAGGAGTTCGTCATTAAATATTTGACCAGTGCAGTTTGATCCTTTGCTAGGTGGATAGCAGGTACCAGAAACACCTTACAAGCTAGTTGGTGAACACAATAGCAAGAAATGGGTGAGAGCTTTGCCACCATCCTCTTGCCCACAGCCCATACCCTACCATTTAGCGATAGTTCCACCAGCTGGAAGTGCAGAGCTTTAGCAGCAGCTGCTTTCCTCTCTGCAAACCAATGAAGGTAGGTACCAAACTCTGGATATATGAGCATGTGTTCACCAACCCAGACTCCAGGTAACTCCTTCCAGCAGTTGTCAATTCAAATCTCAGTGTTTTCTGATCAACTATTCAATTGACTTATCTTCCATGATAATTCTCAATCATAATAGTTATTAACCAGATTGTTCTCCAGATGTTAATCATGGCATATCTGTCATATGATGACACATCATCAAATCATCCGTACAGTTTGGTGCAACCTTGATTTTCCAATACTTTTAACTAACCTACTAGGTAATCAAAGTCAATAATCCTCAATTACTGTTGATAATCAAAGCTCTGTGTGGCACAACGTGAACTTTATGTATAAATTTTGATTGTAATTTTTAAAAACAGAGGCATTTTATCACTTTGACTTCTCTAAATTCTAAAGCATTTAAGAAACACTGACCAGATCGGGGGGCTGGGGGGTGAGGGGGGGAAAAGGCAGTCGAATAGAGGACAGGCCAAAGAAACAGGGACATGAGAATCGTGTGGTAGAGAGAGTTGTGTGAACGCATTAACAGTTTTATCAAAAAAACTCTAACCTGTTGAAAAATTTATAAATCCATGCCTCTCAGAACAGTCCGTTCAGAAATGGAATTTTAATCAAAAGAAAAGCTGGTGCCTGATTGAAATGATATTCTAATAATAATAATCCTTGCATTTTTATCTATGAAACAAAATCATACCTTATGATGCCAGCAAAAAAAACTATTAACATATATAATTGCTACCTCTTCCCATTCAAAATATTTATGTCCTTTAGATTTCAAATAACCGGAAAAATGCAGAGCTTGTATTATTACAACTTTTTTTTTCAGAAATGCAAGCATTCTGTATAAACACACCCAGGGAGCAGGTTAAGGGAACCACAATTAGCCTTCGAAGAGTAAAAATAGAGCTCTTGCTCCTGATTGCTTTGCAGTGACTAATTGTTGGACAGTGCATATTTGAACATCACAGTTGAGAACAAGATCGGAATCCACTGTAAGCCTCTAAATGTTAAAATCTGCCAATATACTTTTGAGTCCATTATGTGCCATGTGTAAACATTTGTGCTCAAAGCAAATTGAACAATTTGAATCTGCCGGACGGTTCTCAATCACCTAACATGACTGATAGAACACCTAACATCACAAACGACATCCTCTCCATCTGTGAACAGGGCTCCCTCTGCCTCCTTGTCCTCCTGGACCTCTCCGCCGCGTTCGACACAGTCGATCACGCCATCCTCCTCCACCGCCTTTCCTCCGTCATCCACCTCAGTGGGACCACACTCGCCTGGTTCGATCGAATCCTACCTCACAAAACCGTCAGCAGTATATCTGCACCAACGGCTTCTCCTCCCGCTCTCACCCGATCACCTGCGGCGTATCCCAAGGATCCATCCTTGGCCCCCTCCTGTTTCTGATCTACATGCTCCCTCTTGGGGATGCCACCAACAGACATGGGGTACATTTCCACATGTATGCGAATGACACCCAACTCTATTTTCCACCTCTCTTTGCGACCCCCAGTCCCCTGATGTTCTGTCAGGCTGCCTGTCAGATCTCAGGGGCTGGATGAGTGCAAATTTCCTTCAGCTGAACGTTGACAAGACAGAAGCCATACTCTTTGGCTCTCGTCAACATCTAAAATCTCACGGCTCTCACCTCCTCCACCTACCCGACCTCCCCCTAAAACTCTCCGAACCCATACGCAACCTAGGGGTCAGGTTCGACCCCCAATTATCCTTCCCCCCCACATCCGGTCCCTCACCAGCACCGCCTTCTTCCACCTCCGACGCATCGCCCATCTCCGCCAATATCTCTCTCCAACAGCCGTTGAAACCCTAGTACATACCTTTGTCACCTCTCAGCTGAAATATTCTAACGCCCTCCTCGCTGGTCTCCCATCCACTACCATCCATAAAATAATAATCCTTGCATTTGATAGAACGCTTTTCACGTCTTCTAGAAGTCTCAAAGCACTTCACAGAATATACTGTAAAGTGAATTGACTGTATATTTGTGGGCGAAACGCGGAAGCAAATTGCTCACAAACAGTCCTGGATTGAAAATGACCAATTTATTATTGTTTTGGAGAGATTATTAGGTGTGTGGAGTAAGGAAACTTGCCCAAGGTTTCGCCCTGCCTGGAATTGAACCCAGGTGTCTCACTTGCAAGACGAGTGCTCTAACCACTGAGCTATAGGACTCCACAGGACTCCAGATCATTCAAAACTCTGCCGCCCGCATTCTCACCCGCACCAAACTCCGCTCCCCGATCACCCAGGTCCTTGCCAGACTGCGCTGACTGCCTATCCCAGAGAGGATCAACTTCAAGATCCTCACCCTTGTATTCAAATCCCTCCACTCCTCTGCACCCCCCTACACTCAAAACAGTACCCGTTGCCTTTGTTCCTCCGGTTCTGTGTTGTTCTGACCTCGACCCCCGAGTCCTCCGCTCCACCCACGGCGGCCATGCCTTCAGCCACTATGCCCCAAGGCTCTGGAATTCCCTTCCTCACACCCTTCGCCTCACCCCCCTCTCTTCCTATTTTCAGGTCCCTGCTAAAGACCTTCCTTTTCTACCACGCCTTTGGTCACCTTCCTCCCCATCCCCCTGGCTCGGCCTCGGGATCCACTACTGTGAAACGCTCTCAGACGCCGTCCGGCATGGAGGGCGCTATATAAATCCAAGTTGTTGTTGATTTACAAATATTCTCAATTTGAATCAAAAAGGTCTACAGGATTATATTCAAAAAATATTAATTTTTGTTCCAGTGGTATTTTTTTGAGGAAGTCCCTAGTCCAGTGGCTCAGTGGTTAGAGCACTCGCTTTGCAAGCGAGAGACCTGAGTTCAATTCCAGGCAGAGGGCGAAACCTTGGGCAAGTTTCCTTACTCCACACGGAGCCTAATAATAATCCCTCCAAAAACCAAAAACAATAATAAATTGGTCATTTTCAATCTACGACTGTTTGTGGGACATTGCTGTGCGCAATTGGCTGCCGCGTTCGCCCACAAATATACAGTCAATTCACTTTACAGTGTGTTCTGTGAAGCGCTTTGGGACGTCCTCCCGACGTGAAAAGCGCAATATCAAATGCAAGGATTATTATTATTATTATTATTATTATTGTCACTTTCCAAGGGGCCCAGTATTTTCACTATGATTGTGAAGTATTCACTACGAATGTGCAGTAATGTTTAGTTAGTGTTTTACTTCTTGATTCTTACTTTATTAAAGTGAAGTTTAACACTGCAACATGGATATCAGGAGAACATCAACTTTTTCCGCATAGGTACAAGGGAATGATCAAATAATTAGCACCACTACCGTGCATCTGTTATTCAGAGTTGCATTGGCACAAATTACTGATCTGATCTCTTGATAAAAGAACTGCAGAGAGATTAAGAAAATAATACAATTAAGGAAAGGAAAAAAAACTTCAAAAATATCTGGCACAATGAATAAAGCTAATACAGTGGAACACCTTACAAACGGGGAAGTCCACAGGCTTCATCCCTGGTCTGTGCTACGGTTAGCTAGTTTCAGATGAATTGGTGTATACGTTGAGTTCCCAGAGATTTTTTTTTTCTGGTGGAAGAAAAGAGAAGAGTGTACATCTCCTAGTTGCTATCCTGTGACCCTTGTTCTAAAGTACGCATGTGATGTTGTTAGAGGAAGCCACATAGCCTCTCTATAACCAGTTGGGTGAGATACCAGAGAGCCAATGACACCTAGGAGATTGTAATACGACATGAATCATTAACTTTAGAAGGTGGGTAATGTAAGAAAATCAAAGCAAAGCAAGAAAAAAAACAAGAAAAATGCGGATAAAACAAATGAGATCCAAAAGGAGAGAAAGTCCTGTTGTAAGCACAGTGATCAAATAACATTCCTCCGGTTTATTCAGTCAAAAACTAGAAACAATTATAAAAGGTTCAAAACGTTCTACTAGTTTTGGACAGCTATTCCCAGTACAGGAAGTGCCTGCAGCAGGAACTTTTTGTTCATCATTATATCACCTCTAAACTAAGACACTCTGGTGAGCGTATAAGTTCTCAGAAACTCGAGGGGCTCTAACTGATGCCAGTAGAATTACTCAAGTTGGACACAAAGTACTGACAGTAATGATTGGAACGAGGCAATAAATATATTAATAATGTTAAAGTATGCGCAGGCGCATATCCACACACAAGGCCCACACTACTCCTGCACACACAGACACATACGCCTGTCCACCCACTATCGCACACATACACCTACCCATTTTCCCCCCCTGCCCACACAGTCCCCCATCCATGCCCTGTCCCACCCCACACACACACCCACATCCATCAATTCCCGGGCAGGGAAAAATGTTTGGCAAATTTCCTTACTAACTCCACACTCCCCTATTTACACGGTTCATAGTTGATTGGCGGATCGCTTTTCCGGGGGTAATTATCCATTCAAAAAAAAATACTTGAAAAATAATAATTTTGGTCACTGAATCCACGACTCTCTGGGGTACTGTTGTGCGCAATTGGCTGATGAGTTTCACCCATAAAATATACAGTCAATTCACTTGACAGTATAGTCTCAAAGACGTGACAAGCATTATATCTGGGACGTTACCCTGTGTGAGGGATAGCTATATAAATGCAAGTTGTTGTTATATCAAATGCAAGGATTATCATCATCTCCCACAAACACAACTGTGCCCTCTTCCCCTCGCCTCACACACATAGCCACACTATCCCCCACATACACACACACACTTGCCCCCCCTCTCAAGTCACACACACACACAGAAACCAATTACTCATCTGGTAAGAACCATTTAAACAAAGAAAGGATTTAAAAACACAACAAAACCACACTCCAACTCAGCCCTCTCCTCATCACCACTAATATACAGAGCAATCCTGTTACAATGCAGAGTCTTGGATCCAAACAAATAGATGCCATGTTATAATGGTCCTACAAAAACAATGGGCACTGGTCCCATTTCGAGGTTGTCAGAATACTGCTGATTTCACTTCCAACAAATTGCATTCTGCAAACGCTGTTGACATCATTTCCAGTGCACAATAAGCACCACTGATGTAATTTCTGTGAAATGGGGTCAGCAGTACTTTGTGTGTAGAAAGTCTGTGCAATACACAGGAAGCGCCATCAGCAGCGATCGAATAACCTGGAAGGTAGCCATCATTAGCACAAAAAGATATCTAGTAAGCTCTGGATGCATCACATTTCTGGTATAGCAAGGCTCATAGCAAACAGCAGGATCCATTATAAACAAGCCTGAATGTACTCCAGTTCAACCCACTCAGATGGGGTCAGCCTGTAATACCTTAACTCATTGCCTGCATCACGAGCCCCTAATTTACGATCACCAGAACATGAAGAAATCTATGCTGTCAGTTACAATGAGTTTGTATGATGGAATATGCTGTATAATTTCATTTAGTTATATTTCTATACTGTATTTCAAAGAATCCAAAAGTTTTCAACAAATGAAAGTATTGAGTGGAAATGAAATATTTTCACAAAAGCACCAAAATAGAATGGAAGAAAATAGGAACAAATAAAGAAAAGGTTGGATTCGAGGGATTTTCTAAACATTCAATTCATTGCAAAAAGTACACTTCATGGATTAAAACAGCAACTTGTATTTATAGTGCCCCTAACACAGGGAAGTGACCCAAAGCATTCGACACTGGCGGAGCATCACGCCGAGCCGGGAGGAGGGAGGTGACCTTAAGCACTGTCGAAGAGGAAAGTCTTCAGATGCTACCTGAAGATGGGGACAGAAGGGGCAAGGTGGAGGGGTAGAGGAAGAGCGTTCCATGATTTCAGGCGCAGTGGCTGAAAGCGCGCCCACCGGTGGCGGAACACAGGGCACAACAACAACTTGGATTTACATAGCACCCTCCACGCTGGACGGCGTCTCAGAGCGCTTTACAGTAACGGATCCCGATGCCAAGCCAGTTGACAACAACAGTCCACAAGGGACATGCAGGAGGCCTGAACCAGTCGAGCAGAGGCAGCGGGTTGTATGAATTAGCAGATCAGAGAGGAAAGAAGATGCCAGAACATGAATGGATTTGAAGACGAGTGTGAGGATCTTGAAATTGATCTGTCCGCGATAGGGAGCCAGTGGAGCCTGGCTAGAACTGGTGTGATGGTGGTGCGGAG